TATAGGGACTTCTACATCTTTTCCAGTGCTATCTTCTACTTCACCACTACCCTCTTCCACCTTATTATTATACTTTCTCACCTTTTCCTCATTAGACGACATAGGTTGGTCAATGGGTTGCTTACCACCCCGAGTAGTGATTGCCATACTGTGCATCATTTTTGGGATTTTGGACAGTATTGCTAGGAAGAGTGCCCGGTTGCCGTGTGTTCAGTGTCGCAGATAATTGGGCCATTTGCAACTCGATCTGCTTAATTGATATTGCATGTGTATCGACTTTTTGCCCAATACCCGCTAAATCACTCCTTAACTCTTTAATGTGCTCATAACTAGCATCAAACCTCCTCATCATTTTGTGCAACATATCCTGAACTTGCGCCATACTATCTCCACCATCCCTAGGAGTAACATCACGATTTTGAGGAGGGACATAGGGACCATTCCTATATATTCTGTTACCGCAGTTACCCCTATTGAAGTTGTTGTCGCGGTTGTAGTTTCTATCTCGGACATAATGACTCTCACGGTTATAGTTACCATAGTTCTAACCTTGGTTCCCTTGACCTTGGCGCTAGTTCTCCTGATTAGAGACTTGGGCACTCGATCGGAAACCCCTGTCTGCTCATTTACTGCATAGGAATCCTCCGCATAATGGCATTCATCATTAGGTGTAGTTAACTACAGTTATCTTTTCTGCACGCCAGTGATATGTTTTAGTACCAATCCAAGTTCAGTTCTCATCTGAGACATTTCTTCACGAATCTCATCTGTGACTGGGTTGTGAGTGGACTGCACCGCGAAGGTATTTCTCCCAGTATCTGACTTCCTAGTACTCCAAGCTTTAGTTTTCCGGGAGATTTTCTCTAATTATCAGCAATCTCAGCATAAGGACACTCCCCATAAGATCCACCTGCTATAGTGTCCAATACTGCTTTATTATTATTATTATTATCATCCTATCCCCGATAGAAGTATTCCTTTAGTGACTCATCATCTATATGGTGATTTGGGACGCTTCTCAAGAACGAGGTGAATCTGTCCCAAGAAATTCTAACTGACTCTCCTAGTAGTGCCACAAAGTTGTTCACTCTGTCTTTGTGGTTTAGCTTCTTGGACACCGGGTAGTAGTGTGCTAAGAAAACGTCCCTTAGTTGGTTTCAAGTGAAAATTGAGTTGTAAGGGAGCTCAGTGAACCAAATAGCAGCCTCTCCCGTTAGTGATAGAGGAAATACTCTTAGCCCTATTACATCCAAGTCCAAGTCAGGCCTCCCTACACAACTTTTACACACTGCCCTTACCTTAGCTATATGGGCATGTGGATCTCAGAAGGTAGCCCTGAAAACAAACTTCTGGCAGTGAGCATTTGCATCAGGCTACTAGTTACCACAAAGGTGTGGCCTGGTGGTAGAGGGTCAGCACAAGTGGCCCATCAGAGTTTGCTATATTGTCATAGCCTCTGTAGTATTTTGGGGCCGTGGAGAGGGATTTTGTCCCCTCTGTTGGTGTTCAACAGGAGCATCGGGTAACAACTGACCATGAACATCAACCGGAGCTGGGATGTTCTGGTTTGGATCATCATCATTAATTCCCAAGTTTCGATTCATGTTGCATAGTGTACACAATAATTCGTGATCGTAGGAAAATAAGGGTTATCTTCCTCTTCGTGTATTTGGCATACAAGGAAGATGATTCTGGATGAATCAAAAACAATAAAACAAAGTAAAATCAAGAAAATATTGACTAAACTATAATAATAAGTTTAATTTAATCTAAAAGCTACTTTCCCCGCCAACGGTGCCAAAATTTGATACGCTCAAACTTACTTCTCAAATAAGAAGTAAAGCGGTCGCGTCAAGTAAATAAACAACCTAGTGAGGTTGGGATTGTTCCCACGAGGAAAATAGTTTAGACTTAACTTCAATCTATTATTACTATTGTTCAGTCAATTACTTCCTTAGAAAGCAAAAATGATAAAAGGGGGGGGAGTTCTATTTCTAAATAAATGAAAATAACTACCGAAATTGAAGGAGACAACTAACAGCTTCAAATGTTGGAGCTTAATCAATTAATAAAAGTAACTAGGGTTTACGTGTTCCCCACAGGTTCATAACTTGATAATTCTAACTATAACAATTCTTTCCTAGTATCTTGCATGCAAAGTTATAAGTTATGTATTTCTAAATCCTTGGTCCGGCATCTAAAAAATTTCACTCCGCACCTTGGTCTGGCTACGTGTGTTTCTATACTAACCCTTATATTTACCTCATATTAAGCATCATATTCGATATTTGAGTAAGTTGTTTCCTCGTACCAATCAATACTAGCCTATTAGATAGTATACACTAAATCTATGTTGATAATTCTTTTCCTATTATCTATCTCCTTGGTCCGGCTAGTAGCATTAAGGCGAGTTCTAACGTTCGCCATCCGTTAAAAAGACTTTTAAGCAAAAGAATTATCAATACATGCAAGACACTATTCTAGAATTGTTATTTTAGTTAGATTTTACCTCATTATTCACCTATGGTTCCAAAAACCCTAGTTATGGAGTTTAGTTACCCATAGTCATAATCACAATATTCAAAAATATGATATAAGAATTCATGCACTTACTTCAATGAGTAAGAGTAAAATCTAAAAGTTCACTTGATTAATCAGCAAAAGTCACCAACAATCAATTACGAAAGTCTCAAAATATTCAAGAATCTCAAAATAATCAAGAATCTCACAAAGAGTCTAAAAATAATCAAGAGTCTAACCTCAAAAATGAGATTTTTCGAACTATTTATAAAAAATAAAAACCTAATTATATAAGAACTCTTTTGCTGGAAATCTGTCAGAACGCGGTTGGATTGACGACCTCGCGACGGATCGTCGTGGTAAAGATGGACCGTCATAGACTCCGTCGTCCCATAATTATGAAATTTATTCTGCTGGTCTCTTCATTACCCTCGACTGCAGGTATGAAGGATCGTCACAGGCACAATGGTCCGTCGAGGGTCTCCGTAACAAAACACTTGAAATCTTGGAATTTAGGTACTGAGACTGCTTCTCTGATCTTCATGACGGACCAGCAGGACAGACCGTCATGGCTACGATGGTCCGTCATGCACTCTGTAGCCCCACACTTGGTCAGACTTCCCCATCTTCCTTCAGCAGCTGCACTACGATGCCACCTACGGACCGTCACGAGCATAACGTACTGCACAAACTCCACAAGTGGTACTTTTCTGTATTTCTTGCTCAAAAACTTCTACATTCATCTTTTAGACAGATTTCTTGCAAATAAAGAGAAACTTACATAAAAATTAGCACAAAAAGGCTTTTGGACACACTAAACTTAAGGAAAAAGTGTTAATAATACTGTGAAACCACGGTATATCAATATGAGGTAAAGGTAAGGGTTAGTATAGCAACACACGTAGCCGGACCAAGGTGCGGAGTGAAATTTTCTAGATGCCGGACCAAGGATTTAGAAATACATAACTTATCACTTGGCATGCAAGATACTAGGAAAGAATTGTTATAAGTTAGAATTATCAAGTTAGGAATCTGTGGGGAACACGTAAACCTTAATTACCTTTATTAATTGATTAAACTCCAATATTTGAATCTGTTAGGTGTCTACTTTAATTTAGTTAGTTATTTTCATTCATTTAGAAATAAAAAACCCCCTTTTATTGTCTTTTGTTCTCTAAGGAAATAATGGACTAAATAATAGTAATTATAGATTGAAGTTAAGTCTGAACTATTTTCCTCGTGGGAACGATCCCAACCTCATTAGTTGGGTTCTTTACTTGATACGACCGCTTTGCTTCTTATCTGAGAAGTAAGTTTGAGTGTATCATTCATAAAAATGGGCATGATAACGAAATCACATGTGAAAACAAACTAAATTTTTACTAAGGAGATATCAAATGGCATGAACGGTTGACCATTTTGAGTCAAATTTGATGTGAAAATAATTGAGATTTCATATGGTTATACATTGATGAATAGAATGTTTTTCACAGATTCTCTTGTGTTGCTTGTTCTCGTGATAAATTGATCACTGCAAGTAAGATTGAGATTATACTCTCTGATTTTTTTGAAACATATGAAAAGGTGAACATGGCCGTTCACATGCCATGTGAATAGTTTACTATTATATAATTTAATACATGCAATCATTGTATGACCACATGTGTATTTGTTATCAACTTGCAATTTGATTTTTTGCAAGATTGTTTGCTCGGATTGTGAAATTAAGAGCACATTTTCAAATTATAAAATTATGTTGAAAATGCTGAGTAGTTTAAGATTAATTGTATGCATCCAATTATAACTAGACCGTTAATTATTAGAACAATACTATCAAATAAAATTTGATACGGAATGAGTTTCTTAAACATGTATGCATCAAACTAACAAGGTTATCCATCATAAGGTGTAAGGTCGTGAACTAAATAATTTGCATCTAAGAATTTGAATGTGTAGCATCTCATTTATTGATCGATCACGCACAAAGATGGATTTCCAAATAAGGTTGTGGTGAATGTTAGATTTTCTAATATTAAGGGGAGATATGATTAATAGCTAAAAATTATGTGTTGAATGGATTATCAAGATCCCTGTCAAAAAAGAAAAGATAATTTATTTGCAAAATATTGCAAATAACCTACCGGTTCCAAATATAAAACGTTTGAGGAAGACTAAGATCCAATTATCAAAATGATCTTGATAATGAAGCAAGTTCTTTAAAAGAGTATATGAAATAATATCTTATGTACCTTGAGAAAGGTTCAGTACCTGGAAAATGTGAAAATGAATCTTGATAATTGTCGTATTGGAATCAATATCAAAATGACCATTGATGTCGCACCCCGAGCCTATACACTGGGTGGGACTGACACTCGATGACCATTGCTAACCTCAAGCGATCCATTGGCCTGACTTACTTAACTCAGTGAAAGACCTAACTTAACTTAATATAATAGTAGAGAAGATTTTCAAGGGAAAATACTTAAAATATAATAATCTAGCCAAAATGGCACTTGAGTATCAATGCTAGAGCATCTAAAATGTAAGATAAAAGAGACATCAAACTAAACAATCTAACTAACTATCTGTCTATGAAGCCTCTAAATTGACTGAGATAAATGTTGGGACAAACCCCACGACATTCTATTGAGCTAACTAGAAAGCAATAAAAGAATCCTTCGAAATACAAGAGGATCACCAATGACTGTGGAGCTCAAACTGGATCAATGAAGCGTTGCGTGCTGACCTGGTTATAAGCGTCTGCATCATAAGACGATGCAGACCAACTAACATCAGTACATTGAATGTACGAGTATGCGAGTTGGAATTCTAAAATAATATAAGGCTTTAGGAGTAAGGATGAACTTACCTTGGTTCTTCTCAACTCATGAAATTATAGCTCAATATAAAGCAGTAAGGACACATGCGGTATAAGGAAAGCTTGTAATTAAACACTTAGTTCATTAAAGATAAACAATAATAATCTCAACTTTACTTAAATATGAAAGTAACATAATTTTTATGGGAGACTCTCTAACCGAAAACCATCACTATGAGCCTAAGTGATGGTACAACATATTACCTCACGTTGCAAGAGGACCGCTCTTTACCTTGTTGTCGGTATAGAACCTGAACTACTAAATGGATCCACAAGTCTATGCTAAAAGCACTAAAGAATCATCTAAAGAGTATGATCCTTTATCTCTCCATGCTGGCTACGTGGTTTATGGAGACTTGAGTTAATATGAACTCGAGTCACCATATCGGTGCTTAATACTTCTCCCAAAATACTTAGCTTATATGTTTTCAAAACAACTTCTTCTCTATTTTGTGATAATTTCTCAAACTTAGCTTCATAAGCTTTGTTGGAAATCATAGTTTCCTTTCTCTTTTACTAAACTAACCATAGGCTCTATCGAAGTCTAGCTTCCTTCATTCTCAAAAGTTTGAAAACATTTTGTTTAAACTCTTAGGGAGTACTTAGTTCCCTTATAACTCTTGAGAAATGAACTCAACTTGTTACTCTTTGCTTAACTTGAAACTTAACTCTTAAGGAATACTTAGTTCCCTTATAGCTTTTGAAAATTTAACTCAACTCTTTACTGTCACGACCCGAGAGTAAACCCTAGAAGATATGATATTCTCGGATTGAAACATGGCTTACTTGATCTCTCGGAGGTCTTGTAGAAGCCCCTTGACATCATTCACTGCATACATGTATGAAAAGTAGTACGGAATTAAAACTTTTCACACGAAATAATAATACTTCAAAATAACTCTTTTATAGAAAAACATAAAGAAAGGCTAAGTCTCAAAGTCGCCATTTTAGACATATGAATATCTTGGAACACGGACCATACTTCAACATATAAAAAATAGCTAAGTCTATTACAATACTTACAATAAGGAAATCTAAACATCATAATGTCCTCGAATATAGTAAGGATATACCAACACTTGCTTTAATGGAATACTAATCCAAGATTCACTTAAAGACTCCTCTCAAATGCCACATACACCTTTAAAGATAGACAAAATATATGGAATTAGTACATTAGAATGTACAAAGTACGACTTAATGCAATAAAATCATGCTAAAAGGACATTTGTATAAATACATGCTCTTTTTGAGTAAAACTTCATAAAACAAGTATAATATATAATATTAAGTCAACATAAAAATATATAATCTTATTCCATAATATAACACCAATATCACTTCAATTCACATAATCACGAGATCCTCCTACCAAAGGTGATTCTAAGGCTCACTTGAGTGAGTTATGAAGAGACCGCCAATACAATCCCTTCACACACACCAAAGTGATACATTAGATTACCTAAGATAAGATTATTCTCATATCATTCATTAAACTCCCTACCTAGAATTACTCTAAGACTCACCTAAGTAAGACATGCAAAAAACTGATGTACCGTGGTTTCACAGTGCTTTCAATGCATTTTTCTTAAGAGTTGTGTGTGTCTAGAGCCTTTCTGTAGTAGTCTTAACATGTTTTTATGTTTGTTTTGTAGGAAATATGTCCAAATTAAAAACGCAGAAGGCAGTTGGAGATTGGTTTTTGCAAACTTTGACAATAATTCAATTTTTGTATTTGGTTTGAAGATTTATCTTGCAATTTCAAGTCAATGTTCTGTGTTTATTCTTATTGTTGAGGTAAGTTCATGATTTTTTTCATTAAAAATTATGAATTGTGATATTTCTTGCATGGGTAAATAAATCCACAACTAGGGTTGTGGGAACCATGGGTAATTAACAAAGTCGACCTAGCAAATAAGCAATTTTCAAATAGGTTCTTACAGGTATTGATAATTCTTTTGTGTAGAAGTCTTTTTAACAAGTGCACGCATTAAAACTAGCTTTGTTTTTACTTGATGGACTAAGGAAGTAGTAATAGGAACAGAATTATCAACATAGATTTAGTGGGATACTATCTAATAGGTTAGTGTTGACTGGTGCGAAGTAATAACTAAGCCATATATCGATTATGATGTCTAATATGTAGTAAAGGTAAGGGTTAGTAAATTATACATACGTAGCCGGACCAAGGTATGGAGTGATATTCACTCTATGCCGGGCCAAAGATTTAGATATACATAACTTATCACTTTACATGCAAAACATTAGAGAAGAATTGCTAATTCTAGGGATACGGTGTTATGAACCTAGGGGGAACACATATACCCTAGTTAGTCTCACAACTTGATAAAAACTTAATGTTTTATTTTGCTTACTTGTTAATTTAGAAGTGTTAAAGAAACTTGTTTCACAAAATCCCCCTTTAATTTCTTATTTTCAGAAAAACCTTGGCTAAATAGATATAATTGTACATTGAAGTTAAGTCTAAACCCTTTTCCTCGTGGGATCGATTCCAACCTACTAGTTGGGTTCTCTACTTGATTACGACCGCTTATACTAAACTCTACTTGATTACGACTGCTTATACTTCATTAGGGAGGTGTTATTTGGGCGCATCAAATTTTGGTGCCGCTGCCGGGGAATCTGGCTTTTAGATTAAATTTAAATACATTATTGATATTTAGTACAAAATTTCCTGATTATAATTTTTCTTTTTCTTTTTGTCTCTTTCAGGTCTAGTTTTAGTGTAATCCAGGTAAACAAAGCCGAGGAGAACCACTCATTCCATTTGATCCTGAACTTAACCGTGAGGCACACCATCAAGTTTAGGTTGAGAATCAATTGGAGAGTGCTTTGAGGATGCATCCCCCCAAACCATGACCTCAGGATTACTATAGGGCCAACTTTAACATTGCTGACTCTGATTACCTCTTGTCCTACCCCCTTTTCCACCTGGACACATATTCATGGTGACGAGTAGCTTGATGCAGATGCTCACCGCGAGGGGTTTATTCTTGAGATTTCCATCAGAGGACCCTCATGATCACATAACCAAACTGAGATATGTGTGTAAGAGTTGTGTGGCCAGGCCAGACTTGGATATACATGTCATCAGCTTGCGAGTTTTTCCTCTATCACTCATAGGAGATGCCACAATATGGTTTGCTGAGATTCCCTACAACTCCGTTATACTTGGGATCAGTTGAGAGATGCGTTCTTAGCAAGGTATTACCCAGTGTCCAAGAAGCTTAACAACAAACATAAAGTGAACAACTTTATGGCACTACCTGGGGAGTCAGTGAGTAGCTTTTGGGACAAATTTACTGCATTTGTGAGAGGCATCCCAAACCAACGCATTGATGATGAGTTGTTAAAGAGTAATTATATCGGGGTCAAGATGATAATAAAGTAGTACTCAACACTATTGCGGGGTTCCTATGAAGAGTGAACATATGTAGAGATCGCAGAGAAGTTGGAGAAGATATCTTGCAACAATAAGGCTTAGAGCACTAGAAAGTCAGACACCAGGAGAAACACCTTTGTAGTACAAGCTACAAACAACCCAACAACAGATGTGATGCATGAAGAGTTGGCACAAATGAGAACTGAGCTAAGATTGATTTTGAAAAATCTGAGTAGAGGTGCAGAAAAGGTAAATGCGGTGAACTACTTGACTAAACCACCACCACGGTAGATGATTACTATTACAAAAAAATGCCTATGCAGTGAATTAGTAGATGGGGGGTTTCTGACAATCGCCCAAGGCTCCAATTAGGATAATTATAGCTAGAGTCAAGAAAATCAAGGTCGAAAATATGGTAACTACAATTGAGAGAGTCAATATGTTCAATATGAAAACTACAGCCGCGATAAGAACTTCAACCGTGGTAACTATGGTAATAGAAATAATTGAAGTGATCCCTATAATCTCCCAAAAAATAGGGAAGTGGCTCCTAGGGATGGTGAAGGTAGTATGACGCGAGTTGAAGATATGCTACAAAAGATGATGAGGATTTTTGACACTAGTGATGAGCATGCTAAGGAGATGAGAGGTGATTTAACTAATATCTTGCAAAAGGTGGATGCACATGCGATTTCGATTAAGCATCTTGAGTTACAGATGACTCAAATGTCTACTACTAAAAATCCACGCCAATTTGACACTCTTCCTAGAAAAGCCATCCAAAATCCTAAAAATTATGCGCATTGCATGGCAGCCACTACTCGAGGGGGTAAGCAAACTATTGATCCACCTATGCCGTCTATGGTAGAAGATGATATGAGAAAAGACAAAGCGGTTGTAGAGACTAGTGGAGAGTTGGTAGACAAAACGGTGATAGAAACAGAGGTGTCTCGGAAAGTGGTCACCGTTCCTACACCTCCACCACCATTCCCTCAGAGATTAGTGAAGAAGACTGAGGATGGTAAATACCGGCGATTTATCACTATGTTAAAACCGCTTTCCATCAATATCCCTTTGATAGAAACTTAGGATTAAGTGACAAGTTATGCTAAGTTTATAAAGGATATGGTGACAACAAAAATATCAATGAGTTTTGAGGAGATGACTGAGTGCAACATTTTAGTGCTATTGCTACAAGGTCTCTTGTGCAGAAAAAGGAAAATCCTTGCGCTTTAACCATTTCATGTACAATTGGGTTGCTGCACTTTGCTAAAGCACTATGTGATCTTGGTGCAAGCATAAACATCATGCCTCTTTCCATTTATAAGAAGTTAGAGTTAGGTGACCCAAAGCCTTCTTCGATGCGGTCACTGATTGCCGATCGAACAGTGAAAAGGACCATTGGTATACTCCATGATGTGTTTGTGAAAGTGGAGTCATTTATATTTCCTTCCGATTTTGTGATTCTTGACTATGAGGTTGATTTTGAGGTTTGCATTATTCTAGGGAGGTTAGTCCTTACCACCGAGCATGCATCGGTTGATATGGAAAAGGGTAGATGAAGTTTAGGTTGAACAATGAAGAAACAACTTTCAATATATGTAGGTCCATGAAGCAGAGTGGTGAGCTCCAAACCATATTTGATATATCCTAAAGAGCTGAGAGTATATCCGAGGTAAAAATTGAAGAGAGACTAGGCGTCGAGGCACTAGCGACAATGATTATGAATTTTGAGAGTGATGGTATTGAAGATTATGGGTCTCTAGTGGATGCACTTGAAAGAAATGAAGCACCGCGAGTATCCATCCGCGAAACCATCTATTGAGGAGGCTCTGAAATTAGAGATTAAGACTCTGCCACCTCATATGAGGTATGTATTCTTGGGTAGAGATAACATATTACCGGTGATAATTGCAGCGGATTTTAATGGACAACAAGTAGAGTGTTTAGTGGAGGTTTTGAAAAGGTTCAAATGAGCCATTGGTTGGACTATTGCGGACATTATTGGGATCCCCCCGGTATTTGTTCACACAAAATTCAACTCATGCCCGATCACAAACTAGTATTGAGAACCTAAGAAGGGTGAATCCACCTATGAAAGAGGTAGTGAAAAAAATGATCATCAAGTGGTTTGATGCCGGAGTCATTTATCCTATCGCAAACAGTTATTGGGTGTGCCCTTTTAACTGCGTGCCTAAAAGGGTGGGATGACACTGGTGCCTAATGAGATGAACAAACTAGTTCCAATGCGGCCAGTGACCGGATGTAGACACTACAAGAAAAATAGATTTTAACGAGAGTCAATCCGGTCGCTAAAAGTCTAGATCCGGTTGTTATTCGGTAAAGAATTGGTCGTCACCGATCGCTAAAAGCTTCATCGTTAAAAGTTAACGACCGAATTTTCAAATTGGTTGTTTAAAATTCTTTAGCGATGGTAAAAATTCCGGTCGTCGATTCTCATTTTAACAACCAAATTTATCTTTCATTAATTTTCATTTCGATCACTAAAAACACTTAATTACAGTAACAAATCCAGTTGTTATAAGTTCTTTAAGCAACTAGATTTTACTTTACCTAATTTTGTACTAGATTTTACCAACTAAAAATTTGATCATTACATGCTTATTATTGTTAAGATGTACAAAAACTTAATAATTATCATTCATGATTTGAGTCATATATGAACTACCAAAATTTAATTACAAAGAATAAGCATTACTATAAACAGGTGTATGCCATTATAATAGTCTACATCCTACATTATGAGAATATTATGTCACATATACACATGATAATATTATCAAACTCCTAAAAAAGATAGAAAATATATTTCTCTTGTGCTTCAACTTCTTTAAACTTTTCCAGTCACATACATTTTCTCTGCAGTTTCTTCAAGGTTCTTTCAATTACAAATCTTTGATCTATGAAAAAAAAACTTGTCAGTGTAGTATAAGTGCTCCTAATGGCACCAAATATGATCACGGAAACAACTACAATTTCCTTATCCGAAACAATTTTTATTTATGAAGAGAATAATGTGAGTAAACATAGTATTTAATTAAGATTAACAAAAAAATAGAACATCCAATAAAAACCCATAAATGGAATGTGGAAAGTGTAGTTTCCAAAAAAAAAACCCTCCAGGCTATTGAGATAAAAATGTAAAAAGAATAATTAAGTAAAATAATCATTTTAGTTGAGGGTCGTGTGAAAAATTAAAATATGACAAATATAATGAACTCGGAAGTAGTATGCTCGTATTTCTCTAAAGTCATTCCTTAATGCACATTAAGTTTCAACTTATGTCACATAATCATATGATAAACTTAATACTATTTTTGTAGATTTTCAAAAAGGAAATGATTTAATTCCATATATAAAGCACCATAGATATGATCATGGAAACAACTAAAACAAACAAATGCAGTCATAGATGAACTATAGCTTACTGAAACACAATTGACAAAACAGTGCTTGTGGATCCACTTACTTATTACACCATTTGTCAGTTAACAAACCTATAGATATCATCAATTCACCAATACTATTAAAATTGTGAGACAAGAGTACAAGTGTAAATAGGTAGGAAAAATGTTTTATTTTTTTAATATCTCACATGACTTTTATATCTTTACCAGTTAATTTTGATTGAAAATCATTCAATACTTATTACTCTATTCATGCAAAAAAAGAGCATGAGGCAAGACCAATAAATTCTTATGTAAGTAGATATCAACCATGAAAATTTGCACCTGCTAGGAAACAAACAAAGGCCTACTGAAAATTTGGATAAAATCACAAATTTCCAAGCTAATTCACCATTTACCTCTTCTGCAATCTCTCCCATCCATTTAAAGTATCGCCTTGTTGCTATAGGATATCCACCATCACAAAAACTCCTGCATAAAAAGTCACAACACGCTAAGAGATCATTTACAGACAGAGAGATACTCTGCATTAGACATTAATAGTTACAAATTTGTGTACTAAAATATGGTGACAATTACGTGAAAAATAATTGGTCTCAGAGATGACAATGTGTGTTGAATTAGACTCTCTCTCTGCATACTTTAAGGATCGGAGATTCAACTATAGCTTCATGAATAGACAACTTAAAATCTTTTAGGAAACACATATATAACTCAAAAAACAAATAACTATGACAATGTGACAAATAAAGAACTAAAGATTTTGCTTTAATGAAGATGAACCACTAACACAGTTCTTATTTTCAACATCATAGTACTCTCAGCATAATTTATTTATAAGGAAAAAAATATGTAGCAATCACATCAGAAGTTGTAACTGATCAATTATTTCTCCTCTTCAGCCCCTCACCTATTTTTTTGCTATTTCTCTACAAAACATTACTTTATCTCATTTATATAAGCAGTGTACACTATATAGATAGTGAGGGAATCAGTATTTTCACTAATGGTTCAAAAAATAAAAAAAAAGAGTTAACAGATGAACTAGTTAAATGGGGTTGAATATCTAGAATATTTACATAAAAATTAATGTTAATCATGTACAAATAGTATATTTTCCACTAAAAGTGGTTCGATTGAACCCCTAGTCTCAAGTTGACTCCTCCCTAAGTATTCATCAAAAAAAAATGTACACATGGGGGGGGTGCATGAACTATCAATACTTCGATCTTATAACCAAACTGCCAAGATGGTCACTAGTTCACCATTTTTTTGATAAGGTAAGACTTTAGTTAAAACAATATCAAAATGATACTAACCTAGCTTTTGAATTTTTAGATACATTAACATTCTTTTCATCACAGGAATCACCAGCAGAAGGGAAAAAAGTAATCAATATGGAGAAAGCACTACCAAAAGCATATAATCAACCACAAGGCACAACACAGTTACCAACTATTTTTACTAAGCATATAATCAACCACAAGGCACAACACAGTTACCAACTATTTTTAGTAATACAATAGGCATTCAAGTTTAACAACAAGAGGTAGATATACATATAAAGTTAACACTTTGAATGCACTTGTAAAAATAAAGACGCTGGAATTACTTAGAACTGGCTAGTGAAGATAGTGATATTAAATTCATTTTAGGCAATCAATCTATCAGAAGTTTGAAAATAGCATTAATTATTTTCTATCTGTAATTAAATGTCTATCCACGGAGAACGAAAGAAAGAAAAAACACGTAGCACCTAAAAAGTGAAAAAAGGACAACTTGACTCTAGCTAAGATGGAAGAACTCTTCCATGAATTTCGATTCCATAAATCCGGGTGAGAGATTGAGAATTCCTAAGGTTGAAATGCTCTAGATATAAACACAATAATTCTCATCTCTATCAATAGAAGGTGTAAGGAACTTGCCCTGTCTTAGGACAGTATATTAAGCTCCTCATCGGTTACCGCTCTTAGTGGTAGTCAAAGAGGTATTGTACAGTTTCATAGCAGTATGAAGTTGTTGCAATAGTTGATCTGCTTTTAGGACATTTTGGAGGTTTGGTAGATCAAAAGCCAGCAAGGCCTAAAGCTATAGATTCTTCTATAGTTTCCAATTTATAAATGGTCTATCTGGATGGAGTTTTGAGCTTTATGTGATTTTCTTTGTGCCTATTTGAGATTCTTTTCTTTCTTTTAATTTTATCATTTATTTTTATTTGGGTCGTTATCTATTGATTACTATTTAGAGTTACATAATATAGCAATTGTCCTTTTATTTTTTTAAAAAAGTGAAAGTATAGAGAAAATGTAGTCTATATTACATAAGTATCATATGAATTCTAGCATGTCCACCATATTATCTAAATTCATAACAATATTTCTATCATTCCAATAGCATAAGTGGTGCCAACAAATATTTTCACACATTGCAAGTGCTCCTTTTTGCCTTCAAAACAGATCATGTTTTAGTAAGAGAAACAAATTAGACAGGACAACTTCAAATTAAGAGTTTAGTGCAGTGTATGACAGAGGCGAGAGGAACTTTTGTTCTAAAAACTATAATTTTCAGTGATCAAAGCTCTAAAATGATCATTAATACACAAAAGCAATGATAAGTCTAAGTGGATAACATATAAAACAACAGGAACAAAGTTCTACTATACATGTAAGTTAAATTTTCTTTTTAGGGAAAACTCGCAATGAAAAATGGTGATTATATAACAAACATGGTGATTATAGGTTAGTGAGCAAGAATAGTTACCAAATACTTCTTCTCAAGAACAAACCCAACAAGTTCAATCATTATGCAAGCAAGTCAATTATCTCGATCTAACCTACATAATCGCTTAGTCACAGGGAGAAAATCCAGGCAGTAGATGAAATCAAGGTTCTATCTCACATACTCACTCACCAAGATAACAATAAAGAGAAAATAAGAGGAAGGGGAGGTCTAGGGTTTGCATTGGAGTTCATAGTGAGCGGCTTGGGAGAAGATGAACAATTTCTTGTGGAAAAAATACGTAAATAAAATAACTTTGCACTTTAATTATTTGTTAAGCTAATTTAAAAACCGGATAAGTGGATTTAATGGGTTGGATATGGTCAAGACAGTATTCTTAAAATGAAAATTAGCATTTAACGATTGGAATTTTTTTTATCGTTATATATTACTTATAACAACCGGAGTAATAACCCGTCGTAAAACAATGGTCATTAAAAATCAGATTTCTTGTAGTGAGAGTTTATATGGATTACCGGAAGTTGAATGTGTGGACGTAGAAGGACCATTTCCCCATGCCCTTTGTGGATCAGATGTTAGATAGACTCGCACGAAAAGGGAGGTATTGTTTTCTTAATGGCTATTCGTGTTAAAATCAAATCTCTATTGCCCCTGAGGATCAAGATAAAACCACTTTTACTTGACCAACACTAGAATGTACCCCAAATGATGAGAATAGGCAATAACCGACATAGACCATACTATCTAGGCATGGAATCCGGAGTCAACCCTACTCCAATAAAGGGTGTTCTACTTGCCAATGGTAGATCTAGGATACAACCCATGTAGGCACATGGTTAAGAAATATCAAGGGTTTCATTGTACTCTAGTCTCATCTTACAACTCGAGCCACTCCCCAAGCATACTCACTGTGCTAGCCTTTGTTCTCATAGATTAATTCAATAAAAGAGCATATGAAGAGGTACCATATCTTGTTCATAACCAAATCATAATACACCTTATCAAGGAGGGTCTACTAGGGCTGCCTACAATGGTTATTATGATAGATCAATGACTTTCCTAAGGATTATTTCATGCCGTTCTATCCAACCAACCCTAAGTCCATCATTCACACGATAAGTATACCATTGCGACTTACAACTTCAAGGATATCATAACCTTCTTTCTAAAAGGTTCCACATAAATGACATTCTTTACCTTATTCAAGATCATATTCCATTCATACATAAACATTCATGAAAAAGGTGCTTTATCCTACTAGGTCAAGGGTTCATATTCACATTATTTCATGTACATGTAAGGGACATAGGTCTACCTAAACAAGACACACTTCATTATCATCTAATCACATGTACAATATCATTCATGTAGCGCATCGGTTCAACTCTATACTTGGAAGTCACCCTAAACACTTCTATAGATACATAAATATAACACATCATAATGTTCATATAGTCAACTAAGAAGATTTACACTTCAACATCAAGTATACACATACAAGGCATCACTATAGCCTATCATTATCACATACTTTGACTTCACATATACATATAAGTCATCAAGACCTTCACAATACTCACATATTATAGTTATAACATGGTAATATTTATAATTCATAAAGTAATGCCGATGAGGACATATTCTTTCACAATTCATAAAAAAAATGTCGATGAGGCCACATTATTCACAAGTATAGCATATAAAAACCGCCACCATAAGTGGACAATACCAAACATCATCATAATTCAATACATTTACTACACAATATAGAGAAAGGTAGGTTAAATACCTCCAATCCAATCTCGAAACTCCAATCCAGAGCCAAATTAACCAACTCATTACACAAAGGCTCTTAAAAATAGCCATGATCACCAATTCAATCTAATAATCCAAATATACAATGAATCCAAGATAATACAATATGAATTTATCAATTTAGGACAACCTACATTCTTACATAATTCAATACCCAAAGTAAACTACACAAGAACTCAATAGTATAGAGACATGATCAGATAACTAGAATATAGTCAAAACAAGGATTGCATGGTTTGCATGGGTTCATAGAGTTTTTAGTCTAAAATCATAAAATTAACACCAATTCAATCATAATACATTGATTCAAAATATTATATGCAAGAACCCATGGCTAGATTACAATTTAGAAGTTCATATTATGAGAAAGTCGGAGAAAACCACTTTGAAGATTGGATCCTTGAAGAAAAGAAATTCAAGGATAAAAACCATACCTTAATTGATTCTAATCCACTAAATGTAATGCAAATTGATGTATAAACCAAGCTTCAAGTTTCAATCTCCCTTCAAGCTTTAATGGTGGTCTAGAGAGTTCTTTAGGTGTCTTGGGGTTTTGATTTTGAAATTATGAATTCATCTAAGTGTTCTGGACTTATAAAACCCACTTTATATACCCAAAATAACCTTAATAAACCTCCCAAATAATTTTAGGAAGGCTAGGTGAAATTCCCAACTTACTCTTCACTTGGCCGAGATGTTGTAGGAAAATTGCAGACCATCTACTGCTCCAAGCTACGCCCCGTAAACCAACCTATGGATCTTCCTGCTGGTCCGTGTTTTGGGTTAGAGGCTCAACATTTGAAATCATAAGCTCCCTAGACTAATTAAACACCTACTCCCTCCACCTACAGGGCGTCGACTGACCTACTGAGCGTCGATTGCCTTCCATAGGTTGGACTGTTTTTGACCATTTTTGGATGAAAGTTTGGTCTTCCTCAAGGACCCTTTGGTTGGTCCTTGGGGAGTTTTTCCCAGATGTTTCCAACCCAAATATACTCGTACACATTTTAGGAACTTCTTACATCAATTTCAACAAAATCGAATACATAAAACATGCAAAAGCACACCTAAATGTACAAGCACGTCTCAAGGCATATCTTTCGAACGTCATGGGCGTTTGACCTCCAAAAATCACCAAAATTTAGACACAGACTAAAAAAATAATCATAAATTTTTTTATGACTTTAAAACCTCATTACACACGTGTTAGACTCTAGTTTCACCTAAGTCATATTAGAGATGTTACATTTACTCTTTGCTCAACTCATTGCTTGAACCTCAATATTTGTTTAAGACTCTTGAATGCTTTTAAAAACTTACTTTCATTTGCTTCTTAAATTTTAGACTTGACTCGTAACTCCTTTAACTTTGATATTAACTTTTCTTGAATTGGATTATGGATTCAAGGATCATGATCTCATGTTTATGGATGATTTCATGATGTTTAGATGTACTTTAGAGTGTTGAAATCAACTAGGAATAATAAGTACATCACTTAGGAACTAGTAAGAAAAAATGGGATCTTTGGGTGACCATGGTGCTCCAGAGCATGATGGACGGAGTCTATCCTGAGGGTTCCGGTAGGCGCGGTGCCCCAATGACTGTCAAACGGATTTTCCAACTTTTCTTCTCCGATTTTCAATTTAAGCCTCCTAAAATTCCATGGATCTTCCCCCAAATACTTAGGATCACTAATATCCTCAATACCCAATAGTTTGGACTCGTAAAACAGCCCAGAAACACGAGTGAAAACCACTAAAGGTACACTACAACTCTAAGTACAAGGGTTCAACAATTGTTCATCAAGAACTTAAAGATTCATTATTCAATCAATACAAAACTTGTTGAATTAAACATGTTGGTGTGTGGGTGAATGAACCCCACACAGAAAGGTCTCACATACCTAGATTGGGATCAACCCCGACGAATTCCACGAGCGAAACCTTAGCGTTCTTGAAGAATCTTGGCCTTTCTCCTTTCTCCAGTTTTCTTTCAAGCTCTAAGCGTTCTCAACATTTTTAAAACTGAATTGGGACTTGGTTTTACCCCTAATAAACCTTTAAAATGAATTAGGAAGTACTAGGTGAAAAGACTACTTTACCATTACTAAAATCCGAATTGGACTTTCCTTTGTCCAACAACCCAACTTCAGAAAGACATATCTCCCTCATATGACATCGAAAATGCAAAAACTTGGAGCCGTTGGAAATATCTTCCAAAGGGATTTCCAACTATATAAAGAAATCACACTAAATCCTCATGAGCTTGGGGGTATGACCGTCTGAAAATGACCAAAAATTCACTTTTACACTTCAGAAAATTTCAGATTTCCCTATTTATTTCCAATAATGATTATTCTTGGTTTCTTTGCTTATTCTTGGTTATTTCAAGTTGCGAGACGTTACAGTTGATGCTTTTAGTGATATCACGATCAACAACACTAGTTACAATCTGAGTGTCTACGAATCAAAGCGAGTATAGTAAACCAAGGGTTGGGGTCGTGTCCAAAGGGAGCGGTAGTGAAAATAGTAGCTAAACTAAATTTTTTGTTCTAGTTAGTAATAGTTTGAGATATTATCCAATAAAAACAAAGTAAATTTAATTTGTGACAGTGAAATGTCAAATATCAAAAGGGTTTGTCAGAAGTAGTAAAATCAACAAAAATAACTAAGGGGAATCAAGTATGAGGAAAAGTTCTTGGGGTGCGACCGCAATATATGGTGAAGTGAACCGTTGGGTTCATGCTTTCTATAGGAAATTTGAAAGATAGTGATGACTAGGCTAAGCTTTAGGTGAAAGTGAATTTTAGCTCCAGCAACTTACCCCATATCAAATGGGTTCCTCTCGGACACCCAATTGTCTGATGAAGACTAGCCTACACCTTATCCACACCCGCTTGTTTTAATTGAAAAAAGAAAAATATAAGTTTTCGACTTTTTAGAGTTACCACTTAATTTTTAAAGAAAAATCAAGAAAACTTGTTTTCAGAAAAAACTTAAATAGGATAAATCATTTTGAAAACTTTAAAGAGGGGTTCGGGGATTCTTATTAACGTCTTAGGAAGGTTTTGAAAACACCTAAGACATTCAGCTTAATTACGGCTATCCGACAAATAAAATAATTCGGCTTAAAAAATTTGAACTTAAAAAAGTTTAGGATGGTAAATATTTAAAATACTAACTTATTATCTAAGTGAGTTATTTGCAAAATTGATAATTTTTTAAGTCGATAAAATAATTAGACGAGTTTGTGGGGATTCAGAGTTTCCTAACCTGAAACTAATGACAAATAAAACAGACAAATAATCAAAACATGTAAAGTAAGAGAGAGGAAGAGAGATTTGGATCCAATTCCGGGTCTGTTCGCCTTGACCGGAATTTTGGACCCACCTGTTTCGGGTTTTCGACCCATTTTGATTTTTTTGGGTTTTCGATCCACTTCTTCTGTACCTGTCCTAAACTAAGCAAATAATTAATACAAAATAAAAT